TGCTCTGTCCGTGATTCGAACTCCCTACACTAGGTTGCAAGCCCAGCTTTGCACTGTCTTTGCCATCTCAGAATTATATAGTCATTTGGATTTCTAATAGTCTTCTCTCTTCATTTTTTATTTCTTGTTAGGATGGACATGGGAAAAAATACTTTGCTTTATGTTTTACTTTAGTTAAACTCGTTTCATTAATAATTGCTTTTGTCTTTACTATTACTTATAACACTGTTATACATGGATTTGTAAAAGAGGAGAACACAGACAAACCCTATGATTTGATATATTGAATGGAAAATGAAGGTCTATTACCTGGTCCTAATGTAATTACATATAGTGTTGTTCTTGATGGGTTCTCTAGACTTAGGTCAAATACAAGAAGACAATATGATATACAAGAAGATGGCTGCATAAGTCCTTATAGACCTACATACACATCTTTAATAAATGTTTATATCTCATAGGAAAACATGACGAAAGCTTTTAAGTTCAATGATGAAATGCCGCAAAGGGAATTTGTGCTTGCTAAGAAATTTTAGTTGGCCATTTTGAGCTACTATACCTTCTGGAAGTGGTAAGATTGTGGTTTCCAAATCTTGAAAAATCCTCCGTATACATAGGTCCCAACCTTTAGCTTGGAGCCTGTGCGTATATCTAACTAATAAAGTTTTAGGCTTTTCAGCTTCTTATCTTTATTTGAAAAAAAAAAAATTATGGTAGTTTTTTTAGAGCTTATTTGGTAGCAATTAAAATTCAATTAAAATTGAAAAAATAGCCGTTATTAGGTCTCACTCGTCTAATAAAAGTCAACAATAACGGCTAGTTTTTCAATTTTAATCCATTTTTAATCTCTACCAAACAAGCTCTTAATGTTTAGTAGTGTTTACTATCATTAAACATTTGTTGTTGGAATTTTAACTTCTTTAAGGTTTTAAGGGAGCCCATGAGTTTTTTTTTTAATCTTTATACATATGCAAGTAATGTGCTATCTTTATTGTGTGTTGTTCTGTTTTTTCAGGTTGAATTCTTTTTTCTATCATTTTTATGTTTATTTTTGCTGCGTGAGCTAACAAAGAATATAGTTGCTCACTATTCAGATTTTTTAGCTTCTTATCTGAATTGATCGTGTTTTGTTCAAATAGGTGAACGAATTATTGTTCACGAATTAGATTTTTTTTTAGAGGAATACCTATTTCTAAAAATGAAAAGTAAAAAAAAAAGTTTAGCTCCTATTCCATAGTGATGTCTTGCTTGTTTCTTTTTTCTCATTGGTGCTCTTTTCCTCTTTTCTAAAATATCTATTATATTATAATCTTGTTTCATGTTGGGGTTCGAAGGACATCTAATAAAAGGTCATCGTGGTGCTTTCATAACTAAAGAATGAAATAAAACCATCAGCTCTTGAAATTTATTATTGAGAATACTTCACTTCGTTAATTCTTGGATTAAACAAATAAAGGTTTGTAGGTGTTGAATTTTTTTTGCCTATCTGCTGTGAAGTATTTGAAATGAAGACCTTGTTTCTCTTTGTCTATATTCTAATTTCTATTCAAAGTTCTCAATGGACGAATTGGTCGAATACATTATATTGGGTTCGAAAACTTACACCTTCATTGGTTATACTTTTTTTTCCTTTTAGACGAGATATAAATTTTGGCCTCTTGTTGATGATTTTTTTTTTCTCTTCATATTACAGCTCTCATCATGCAATCAAATTGCAATTATTGCTAACATCTACTTGTTTCAATTGTAGTCAAATCCACTTTTGGAAGCACTTGACAATCCAAAAAATGTTAGATATGTACTTCAAAGGATTGTCTATGGCTTTTTATATCAGAAATT